ATGTAATCCCTATCAAAATAACACTAGCATTTATCACAGAACTAGAACAAATGGCCCTAAAGTTTGTATGGAACCACAAAAGATCTAGAATAGCCAAAGCAATCTTGAAGAAGAAAAGCAAAATTGAAGACATCACAATTTTGGGCTTTAACTTGTATTACAAAGCTGTAGTCATCAAGACAGTATGTGGTACTGGCACAAAAACAGACAAATAGAGCAATACAACAGGATTGAAAATCCGGAAATAAGCCCACAATCACATGATCTATTAATCTTCAACAAAGCAGTAAAGAATATCCAATGACAAAAAGACCATCTCTTCAACAAATGATGCTGGGAAAACTGGACAGAAACATACAAAAGAATGAAACTGGATCACTCTCTGACACCATACACAAAAATAAATTCAAAATGATGAAAAACCTAAATGTGAAACATAAAACCATAAAAATCCTAGAGGAGAACACAGGCAGTAACTTCTCTGACGTCAGCCATAGCATCTTTTTTCTAGATGTCTGTTGATGGAAGGAAAACAAAAGCAAAAATAAACATTTGGACTATATCAAAATAAAAAGCTTCTAAACAGTGAAGGAAACAATCAACAAAATTAAAGGCGAACTTCAGAATGGGAGATGATATTTGCAAATGACAGATCTGATAAAGGGTTAGTATCCAAAATACTTAAAGAACTTATAAAATTCAACACCCCCAAAATGAATAATCCAGTTTAAAACTGGACAGAAAACATGAATAGACATTTTCCCACAGAAGACATACAAATGGCCAACAGACTCATGAAGAGATCCTCAACATCATTGATCATCAGGAAAATACAAATCAAAACTACAATGAGATATTATCTCACACCTGTCAGAATGGCTGACATCAACAACAGGTGTTGGTGAGGATGTGGAGGAAAGGGAACCCCTTTGCACTGTTGGTGGGAATGCAAACTGGTGCAGCCACTCTGGAAAATAGCATGGAGTTTCCTCAAAAAGGAACTATCCTATGATCCAGCAATTGCACTACTGGGTATTTAAACAAAGAATACAAGAACACTAATTCAAAGACATACACACACCTCTATGTTTATAGCAACATTATTTACAATAGCTAAATTATGGAAGCAGCCCAAGCATCCATTGACTGATGAATGGATAAATAAGAGTTGAGATGAGATGATAGATAGATGATAGATACATACATACATACATACATACACACACACACACACACACACATAATGGAATATTACTTTTCCAGCCATAAAAAATAATGAGATTTTGCCATTTGCAATGATGTGGATGGAGCTAGAGTGTATTATTCTAAGGAAATAAGTCAGTCAGCAAAAGACAAAAACCATATGATCTCACTCATATGTGGAATTTAAGAAACAAAAGAAAAATGCAAAGGGAAAATATGAGGGAGGCAGAGATACATAAAAACAGACTCTTAATGATAAAGAACAGACTGATTAGCAGAGGGGAGGAAGGTGCAGGATGGGTTAAATAAGTGATGGGGATCAAGAAGTTCACATATTGTGAGGAGCACAGAGTGTTTTATGGAAGTGTTACATTAATATACTGTACACCTGATGTTAATATAACACTATAACACTATAAACTAATGGGAAATAAAATAAAAACAACAATAATAATAAGCCTCAGCTCTTTCTCACACACAAAAATTAAGTTGAAATGAGTACAGACTAAACATATAAATTAAAACTATAAAGCTTCTAGAAGAAAACATTGGAGAACAATTTCTGTGAATTTGATGTAGGCAAAGATTTCTTAGATAAGGCATAAAAAGCACCAAAAAAAAAAAAAAAAGGAAAAATAATACATGAGGCTTCATCAAAAATGTAAGACTTCTGCTTCTTAAGAAGTCTTCTCACTGTTAAGAAAATAAAAAGAGGGGCACTTGGGTGGCTCAGTCGGTTGAGTGTCCGACTTCGGCTCAGGTCATGATTTCACGGTTCATGGGTTCATCCCTGCATTGGGCTCAGTGCTGACAGCTCAGAGCCTGGAGCCTGCTTCAGATTCTGTGTCTCCCTCTCTCCCTTTCTGCCTCTCTCTCTCAAAATAAATAAACATTAAAAAAAAAAAGAAAATGAAAAGAGAAGACAGAGATTGGGAGAAAGTATTTGCAATTCATATATCTAACAAAGAATTTGTACCCAAATTTTATAAAGAACACTTACAACTCCAAAATAAGACTGAACAGACACTTCAATGGGCAAAAAAACTAAGCAAACACTTCACAAAAGAAGATATACAAATGGCCAAAAAACACATGAGAAGATGCTCAATGTTATTAGTCTTCAGGGAAATGCAAACTAAAAAATTACAGTGAGATACCGTTACACACCCACCATAATGGCTAAGTTTTAAAAGACTGATAGTATCAAGTACTGGCAATGATCTGGAGCAACTGGAACTCTCCTATGCTGCTACTGGGAAAGTAAAATGTCACAACCACATTGGAAAACAAACTAGAAGTTTCTTAAAAATCAAACATGCACTGGGGTGCCTGGGTGGCTTAGTCAGTTAAGCATCCAACTTTCGCTTAGGTCATGATTTCGCGGTTCGTGGGTTCGAGCCCCGCGTTGGGCTCTGTGCTGACTGCCAGCTCAGAGCCTGGAGCCTATTTCAGAGTCTGTGTCTCCCTCTCTCTCTGACCCTCCCCTGCTCACGCTGTCTCTCTCTTTCTCCTAGAAATAAATAAAAATATTTTTTAAAAAATCAAACATGCACTTACCATAGGACTCAACAATCAAACTCCTAGGTATTTAATAATTAAAAAAAGAAATAATCTCAAAATAAATAAACTTAAAAGGGGGGGTAACCTGGGTGGCTCAGTAGGTTGAATGTCAGACTCCTAATTTCAGATCAGGTCATAATCTCATGGTTCATGAGATTGAGCTCTGCCTTGGGCTCTGCACTGACAGCACAGAGCCTGCTTAGGATTCTCTCTCTCCTTCACTCTCTGCCTCTCTCCCACTAGTATGTGCAGTTGCTCTCTCTCTCTATCTCTCTCTCTCTCTCAAAAGAAACAAACTTTTTAAAAAAATGAAAACACATGTCCACACAGAAATGTATACGGAAGTATTCATGACAGGTTTATTCATAATAACCAAAAATAGGAAATACATCAAATGTCCATAGGTGGGTGAACAGACTCTGGTACATCGGTACAATGGAATACTACTCAGCAAAAAAAGAATGAACTGCTGGTACGATAAAGAACATGGATTAATGAAAAAACATGCTGAGCAAAAGAAATCAGACACAAAAGAGTACATGATTATGAAATTCTATAACAGTCAAAATGAATCCTTAGTGACAGAAGGTGCAACTGGTTGTCTGGGAACAAGTGGGTAGTGAGAGGCAAGGAAGGAACTTTTGCAGGTGGTAGAAATGCTCTATATCTTGACCTGATGGTGTTTAAGAGGTGTATACATTCGTTAAAAACCCACTGACCCCCATGACTTGAAATGGACGCATTTTAAGAGAATAACTCAATAAAGTTGTATTTTAAAATGCCAAGGTCAAGAAAAACAAACAAACCTGAAAAATTCTCCCCAATTAAAAGAGATTAAAGAGACATCACAACTGGGGTACCTGCAGGGCTCAGTCAGTTGAGCAACCAACACTTGACTTCGGCTCAGGTCATGATTCCAGGGTCGTGAGATCAAGCCTCACATTGGGCTCAGCACTGAGCATGGAGCCTGCATAAGATTCTCTCTCTCTCTCTCTCTCTCTCTCTCTCTCTCTCCTTCTGGATGTCCCCTTTCACTCTCTCTCTATAAAATAAAAAAAGAGACATCACAACTAAATGTATCACATGACCCTGAAATGTGCAGGAAAAATACCTACAGATGATATTATCAGGAGAGTTGGCGAATTTGAATGTGAGTTATACATGAAATCATAGTACTCTGTCAATGCTAAATTCCTTGATTTTGATAATTTTCCTATGGTTATACAAGAAAAGGACTATTTCCAACAAAATATTTAGCAAAGGGACATAATGACCCCAATTATCAAATGGATGAGCAAGGTGGGGGGAAGGAGGGGAAAGAGGGAGGGAGGGGGAGAGAGAGGACTGTAAAGCACAGATAGAACAAAATATTAAATGGTAAATGTGCGGGGCGCCTGGGTGGCTTAGTCGGTTGAGCGTCCGACTTTCGCTTAGGTCATGATCTTGCGGTTCGTGGGTTCGAGCCCCGCGTCGGGCTCTGTGCTGGCTNCCTAGAAATAAATAAAACATTAAAAAAAAAATAAATGGTAAATGTGCAAAGGTTATATGAGAGGTTTTTAAAACATTTTTAAATGTTTATTTATGTTTGAGAGAGTGGAAGAGACAGACTGCAAGCGGGAGAGGGCCAGAGAGAAGGAGACAGAATCTGAAGCAGGCTCCAGGCACTGAGCTGTCAGCACAGAGCCTGAAGCGGGACTCAAACTCACAAACCACAGGATCATGACCTGAGCTATGGTTGGATGCCTAACCGACTCAGCCACCTAGGCACCCCACGAGAGTTTTTATATTGTTGTTTCACCTATTCAGGAAGTATAAAATTATAGCAAAAGGAAAAACATTTTAATGAGAGGTGATTATCTAGATGGGTGAGGGAAGGCTAAATAACTATTTTTTAGACCTTAATTGTGCCGTCCCTCACAGCCGCGGCTATTGAAATGATTCATCCTGTTAATAAGGGAAAGACCAGGCTGTCTTTTCCTGTGTTGTCTCATTGATTCTGTGGGTGGTTCAGGGAAAATAGAAAGAGAGAATTCCTTGGGGCCATTAAAGAGAGGGGAAACTGCTCTCCAAAGACAAAATCCTGCACTCTTCCTCAAGAAGAGAGATCAGGTATCTGATTTCTTAAACCATAGTCCAAAAAGAACATGTTCTTCCTTCTCTAACTCATCTGTTTCCACTGTAAACAAAGTCCTGCTAGCAAAAAACATTAGTTTGTAAAGAATCACAAATTATCACAGCAATAAACAAAAAAAATTACAAAATCCCATTTCACCTTTTCTTCTTATTACTATTGAAGCAGGGGGAGAAAATATCATCAATTGTCTTCTCGCAGATACAACCGTACACACGAGAGCACTCAATAGTTGTTATTCTTGTTGACGATAAAAATGCACATTGTCCTCTCCCAGAAAAATTCATGAGTGCATAGTTCCTGTAGAATAGAAAGCATGGTCAACTGTTTAATTCTGTAGCTTAAGATAACATAAATTATACTTTTTAGCCCATTATAGAAATGTTATAATTTCATCACTAAAAGATTTTCTTTTGGTCTTAGCCTATGAAACAGGATATCAGCCTTTTTTTTTTTTTTTAATATTTTTATTTATTTCTAGGAGAGAGAGAGAGAGAGAGAGAGAGACAGCGCGAGCAGGGGAGGGTCAAAGAGACAGGGAGACACAGAGACTGAAACAGGCTCCAGGCTCTGAGCTGGCAGTCAGCACAGAGCCCGACGCGGGGCTCGAACCCACAAACCGCGAGATCATGACCTAAGCGAAAGTCGGACGCTTAACCAACTAAGCCACCCAGGTGCCCCTGGGATTTTGTGTTCAGAAGGCAAAATTACCTTGCAGTATTGCTACCGAATCATGATACAGTAAGTCTGCTTTTTCATGTAAATTTTTCAGTAAAAGTGAAAGATTAACAAGAAGAACTAAATTTCTGTGACACAAATAAAAGCTCTTGTAAACATTCACTTCAAGGAGAAAAAAGTAGAATGACATATAGTCAGAGATGAGGTTGTTTAATTCACATTTTTGTTTTGTTTCTTTTCCTTTCATACCGCATAGCTAATAGTTACTAGCTAAAGTATGACAATCCATTGAAAAATATTTAAAGCAAGATTTCTATTTCAGCAAAGTGCTGGATTAGGGGGCAGAACTATCTTTCTATTGAAATAATTTTAAATGCTGAATTAAAAAAATTAAAACCTTTCTGAATAAATTTGTGAGCTTATAAGAAGCAAATTCATACTCAAGTTAGGGTTAAGTACAGGTGGGAACCCAGAAGGATAAGTGAGCTCTGAAGTCAATTTTCCCCTTAAGTGATGCAGTAGGCTGAATAATGAACTCCACTCAAGTTTCTAAATGGAAGACAAGGTACATAGAGTTGGTTATATCTTCAAATATAAACTACCCGTGAGCTGTCTTGAACCTTGGACTTAAGCAGCAGAGAAAATGAGTAATCCCACCTGAATCCAAAATTACTAACCATCCCTCATGTAAATTATATTTGCTGTATATTGAAATATCCAAATCTCTTACAGAAAAGAAAAAAAAAAAGAAACAAATAAGGAAGATACATGAAGCTAAGTAGCTTGTGAGGCATGAGCAGAAAGGATGTGTTAAATATATAGGATGTATTAAATATATATGGATGAGTAACCTTTGAGGCATGTCAGGTATAGCTACAGTAAGTAGAGCATAGGAAAGGAAGGAAGATCCAAGGAGCACTAAATGTCTCCCTCAAAATATACATTATGAACATAGGTACTCAACATCCATGAGGTCTTAAATCCACCTCCCACTGATGACACGCCCATTAGCCCTCCACCTAAGAAACTCGAATAAAACCTATACTTCTCATCAGGTTCACTGAAAAGCTGCAGTTGTGGCTGGGCTTACATGTTCCTGCCTCTCCTCAACAGAGAAAATGTGTAAACTGGCCACAGAGCCTTCAGTTTTATAGGCCCTCTTAGTCAAAACTCGAGTGATATCCTAGAAACCACACCATTATCAGGAAAGGGGTATGCAGAAGAAACCAGGCCATGTGAAGATTCCATAAACCAGGATTCAAGTGATCCTTTCACCCACTTGCACCCTAATCTGAGTTTGACAATCAATCCCATTGCATCCCAATGTGAAAAGCTTTCCCATTTCTTTCCCCTTGAATAGTGCAATTTTTTTTAATGGATTCAATTAACTGTACAAGTTAGGCATCTTAATTTGGTCCATGAGCCTTTCTGTTCTATGTTTCTGAGGTCTTTGCCCAGAAGTGTACTCACTATGACTATATCAAAGGGACTTTCTGCATCACATCTCTTGTAAACGTGCAGCCCCAAATAACACTACTTGTAGGACCTAAATTTAGAATTAAAAGTGGCCCAGATACATAGTACCCCAAGCTACCCCAAACAGGAAATTATTTCTTGAAAAAGCAACCTTCATCTCAGTCCCCAAACAATTTCCACAGCGGCTCAAAAAGAAAAACAAAAATCACTAAACGATACAAAGAAAATGACACCATGAACAAAAGCAAGCAGAAACAATGGAGTAGACCCACAAGACTGCAAGTATTAGAATGATCAGATACCAAATATAAATAAGTATGTTTGATATCTTTCAAGAAATAAAAGACAACTTGAAAATAATGAGTAACTATCAGGATTTGAAAACCCAAAGCAGAGTCCTTAGAAATAAAAAATATGACAGTTAAGATTTTTTAAAAGTCATTGAACAATTTAAAAGAAGGTTATAACAAAATATAAACCCAAGAGTTTACAAAAATAGTGCATTTCAAAATCAAACTTTAAGGGTGCTTAGCTAGCTGGCTCAGTTGGAAGCGCACGCAACTCATGATATCAGGGTCATGAGGTTGAGCCCCATATTGGGTATAGAGATCATTTACTTACTTACTCACTCACTTACTTACTTACATAAACAAACAAACAAATTCAAAATAAAACCATAGTGAAGGTATATGTACGCATGTGTGTTTGTGTATACTCATGAACATTTATGTCTATAAATAATATAACTAATAATATACAGATCATATGATGTGATATTTCAAACATCTAGAAAATATCCTAAGTCAAAAATGCATTTCATACACCTAACCTACTAGGTTAGCCTAACATACCTTAAATATGACCAGAACACTGATGTTAGGCAAAACCATCTAATACAAATTCTATTTTATACTTATCTCCTGTGATTTATCGAATACCACAGTGAAAGTGAAAAACCAGAATGGCTGTATGGGTATAGGATGGTTGTAAGTGTCTGGGTTGGTGATCTGGGGATCACGTGGCTGACTGGAAGTTGCAGCTGCCAGGGGCCAGCATCACAAAAGATCACACTGCATATCACCAGCCCAGAGAAAGATCATATGTAATATTCAAAGTACCATTTCTACTGCATATTGCTTTCACATCATTGTAAGGTAGAAAAATTGTACGTCAAACCATTGTAACTCAGGGACAATCTACAAAGGAGTTTCAGATGAATTTAGTATCTTCACAATACTCATTTGTCATTGTGGGGGGGCTCACTATAGCTTAGTCAGAATGACCCACGTTATGATTTTGGTTTATTTTGTGTGCATCATAACACATACTTCTGAGCATGTGCTTAGCATCATTAAGAATGTGTGTGACATTTCCCTTCCTTTTTAGTTATACTTCCTAAAACATTTTCTTACTCATTCTACTTGTTGTTACCCATGACCTCTGTGGAAAATTGTGTGAAGCAAGAGATTCTTTTTAGATACAGTCATCCTGACTTCAACACCAATGCTGGAGTTTGAATGCATTCATTCCAGTTACCTCCCCGGAAGTGGGTCACTGTCACTCCATTTCCATTTTCCTTCTCTTTCACTATATGATAATCCAATCCAGTAGTTATTCTTACAAATGTGGGTTTGAATGAAGGTCTGTAAAGGAAACAAAACATGTGACTAGCTCCGATCTGTTTAGATAAGTGAAAAAAAACAAGTAAAGGTCCCAGCTATTTCTATGGGCAGTACTGTGCTATGTTTGACACCATCCTGCATCCCTACTTCCTAGAAAACCCTCTCTCCACTCCCTGTGCTTTTATTTTCCAAAGTAATTTTTACTTGTAGATTATTTACGGAATATTAAAAATGGCTGCCATGGGGTTCCTGGGTAGTTCAGTCAGTTAAGCATCCAACTCTTGATTCCGGTTCAGGTCATGATCTCACTGTCATAAGATTGAACCCCAAGTTGGGCTCCATGCTGGGCCTGAGGCCTGCTTAAGATTCTCTCTCCCTCTCTCTCTGCCCCTCCCCTGCTCATGCTTGCTCTCTCTCTCTCAGAAATAAATAAATAAATAAATAAGAAGATAAAATGGAGAACTCCTGGGGCATCTGGGTGGCTCAGTCGGTTAAGCATCTCTCAGTTTCAGCTCAGGTCATGATCTTGTGGTTTTGTGAGTTCAAGCCCTGCATCAGGCTCTGAGCCTGATTGGGATTCTCTCTCTCCCTCTCTGCCCCTTCCCCACTCGCGATGTCTCTGTGTCTCTCCAAATAAATAAATAAACTTAAAACATTTTTTAAATAGAGAACTCCTTTAAGAAAGTATTTAAATAAAATCAAACACAAAAGTGGTTGCCAGTCTCATGATTATTTAAAACATGAAAAAATTGTTAATCTAAATATCTAACAATAGAGTTGTTAAATAATTTATGACACTATGAAACTACTCAAAATCATGCTCCAGAAAAATATTCAAGGATATTGAAAGTGATCATTACATATTCTTAGGTGAAGAAAGGCACTTTCAAAACAAATTTATTAAAATAAAAAGTATATATATAGGAAGTTGTGCATCAGAGCTGGGAAAGGCTTGCTATAGTTTAGTAGTTAGAAGGGGTGAAGGGAAAGGGGGCAGTATTTGGAAATATTTGCTATGTCAAAAAAATGTAATATATCAAAGTGACATATTACATAATGTCTGATTAAATAGGTGAGTATATTTTAAAGTATAGGTTGACATTTAAGTGGGTTTTACTGTAACAAATGAAAATTATTTCATGACTTGATGTCCTAAATTCTTTTATGTTGTGATTTAAAACATCTATTAGATTTGCATACAAATTTTATGTTGTTTTTCTAAGTGATAAGTAGAGGTTTCAGACTGATCTTTGGAAACATTTTTCCGTAAAAAACATGGGGCGCCTGGGTGACTCAGTCGGTTGAGTGACCAACTTCGGCTCAGGTCATGATCTCACAGTTTGTGGGTTCGAGGCCCATATCAGGTTCTGTACTGACAGCTCAGAGCCTGGAGCCTGCTTCAGATTCTGTGTCTTCCTCTCTCTCTGCCCCTCCCCAACTTGTTCTCTGTCTCTCTCTCTCTCAAAAATAAATAAAACATTTAAAAACAAAAACATTCTGTATGTGTGGATAGTTTTTATCAGTAATAAACTTGAAAGATAATTTTGATATTTTCACTTTATTTTTTCTTTTTACAATTCTTTTTTAAAAATATGCATCTTGATATAATATAATAGAATTCTGATCAAATAAATGGTATGTACAGATGCAATGAAAATCACCATGAGGCTAATTTGTAAAACAGTTATCACTTTTATGTTACTCATTATTATCTCCATTCTGCAGATGGAAAAACTGAGACCCAGAGGCTAAGTAATTCACCCAGAGTCACTCAGCTAGAAAGTGGCAGTACTGGATTTGCCTGATACCAGGCAGTCTGGCTCCTGGCCTCCTAATAGCAATTACTGGATTAGATTCCCTCCAGGTTCTTAGGTGTCACGTTATAAGGATAAATAACCACTGTTTCCAGGCTGCAAATACTAAAGGATTAAGAACTCCATTGAAGGAGAGCCATGCTTTCCAGTGAGCTGTTCTCCTGCACATGCCTTAGAAAAGGAAATGAATGCAAAGACTCAAACTGAATCTTCAAGGGGGTTTCCACTTAGGAAATCTTAAGGGTCATCATGAATAGATAATATATATGGGACGCTCAGTAAGTAGCAACATCATAAATGCCCAACCGTAGGCAGGGTTTTCCAGAACCCTTAACTTTCTCAACTACACACTTTTTGCTCACTCAACAGACACAACCCATAACTGAAGGTCCCCCTTTCTGGATTGCCCCATCCTCATTATCCTGGGTGCAAGGGTTAGAGACATCGTGCAAGAAAATAAAGTGAATGTAATAGTCCATGTTACCTGTTCATCTGGATCATTTATCTTCAGAAGAGATGAATTATAGCTTTGGCAAGTCCGATTACATCTGTTCCAGGTTTTACATTCAGAAATAAAATAGTAACAATTTATTCCATAACAGGACCAGTGGTTTTCATAGAGTCTGTCTGCAACGTATAAGGTGAAACATGACCTGGTAGTCTGTTAAGCAGGGCAATATATTTATCAGCCCTTCATAACTAAGTAAAATCTTAATAGTTATCAATAATGATAATATTAGGTTCATTAAGACTCTGGAATGCAAAGAGGTAGCTCTCATATTCATTGCAGCACTATTCACAGTAGCTAAGATATGAAAACAGCCCCAAGTGTCCCTCGATGAATGAATAAAGAAAATGGTACGTACATTCAATAAAATACTATTCAGCCTTTAGGAAAAGGAATTCCTGCATAGGCAATGGCATGGACTAACCTAGAGGTTATTATGCTAAGTGAAATAGACCAATCGCAGCAAAGCGAATACTTCATGCCTCCACTTATATGAGATACAAAAAAAAAAAAAGTCAAATTCAGAGAAAAAGAAAGTGGAAGGTGGTTGCTAGTGGCTAAAGGAGGGGGAAATAAGGAGCTCTAGTTCAGTGGGTTTCAGTTATGCAAGATGATTAAGTTCTAAAGATCTGCAGCTGTACAACATAGTGCCTTTGGTTAACATTACTGAAGTGTGCACTGAAAAACGTGTTAAAAGGGTGGATCTCATGTTAAGTGTTCTTACCCACTCCCAAAGGAGAAACGTGAGAAAACTTTTGGAGGTAATAGACACGTCTATTACCCTGACTGTGGATGATTTTACAGATATATGCATATGTCCAAGCTTGTCGAATTATATGCACTAAATATGTGCAAATCTTGCATATTAATAATACCCCAGTAAAGCTGGTTTTAAAACAATAAAAGTAAATTTTTGAAAAGATTCTGGAATACCTTCGAAATAAGAAATATCATTCTTTGGAATTTTTTTCCTTTTCCTCATATATTTTATAATGCACCAAATTTTTGAAATACTGTTGATTCTTTAATAATAGAGAAGACAACTTCCTACAAACCACCATGTTGAAATGATATTAAATATGCAAAATCTTTGCAACCTCTATCAAAAAACACCAACATTCTTCACAGAGCTAGAACAAATAATCCTAAAAGTTGTGTGGAACCAGAAATGACCCTGAATAGCCAAAGCCAACTTGAAAAAGAAAACCATAGCTGGAGGCATCACAATCCTGGACTTCAAGCTGTATTACAATGCTGTAATCGTCAAGACAGTATGGTACTGGCACAAAACACTCATATCAATGGAACAGAATAGAGAACCCAGAATAGACCCACAAATATCTGACCAACTCTTCTTTGGCAAAGCAGGAAAGAATATCCAATGGAATAAAGACAGTCTCTTCAGCAAATGGTGCTGGGAAAACTGGACAGCGATATGCAGAAAAATAAACTTGGACCACTTTCTAACATCATACACAAAAATAAACTCAAAATGGATAAAAGACCTAAATGTAAGACTGGAAGCCATCAAAATCCTACAGTAGAAAGCAGGCAAAAAACCTCTTTGACCTCGGCTGGAGCAACTTCTTACTCAACACGTCTCCAGAGGCAAGGGAAACAAAAAGCAAATGTGAACTACTGGGACCTCATCAAAATAAAAAGCTTCTGCACAGCAAAGGAAACAATCAATGAAACTAAAAGTCAACCTATGGAATGGGAGAAGATATTTGCAAATGACATATCAGATAAAAGGTTAGTATCCAAAAATCTATAAAGAACTTATCAAACTCAACACCCAAAAACAAATAATCCAGTTAAGAAATGGGCAAAAGACATGAATAGACACTTCACCAAAGAAGGCATCCAGATGGCCAGCCGACACATGAAAAAATGGTCAACATCACTCATCATCAGGGAAATACAAATCAAAACCATAATGGGATACCCCCTCACACCTGTCAGAATGGCTAACATTAACAACTCAGGCAACAACAGATGTTGGCGAGGATGCAGAAAAAGAGGATCTCTTCTGCACTGTTGGTGGGAATGCAAACTGGTGCAGCCACTCTGGAAAACAAGTCTGGAGGTTCCTCAAAAAATTAAAAATAGAACTACCCTATGACCCAGCAATTGCACTACTAAGTATTTATCCAACAGGCATGCTGTTTCAAAGGGGCACATGCACCCAATGTTTATAGCAGCACTATCGACAACAGCCAAAGTATGGAAAGAGCCCAAATGTCCATCAATGGACAAACGGATAAAGAAGATGTGGTATAAATAATGGGACACCTGAGTGGCTCAGTCAGTTAAGTGTCGACTTTGGGTCAGGTCATGATCATGATCTCACAGCTTGTTAGTTCGAGCTCCACATCGAGCTCTGTGCTAACAGGTCAGAGTCTGGAGCCTGCTTCCGATTCTGTGTCTCCCTCTCTCTCTTTGCCCCTCCCCTGCTCACACTCTGTCTCTGTCTCTCTCTGTCTCTCTCTCTCAAATATAAATAAACATTTTTTTTAAAAAAAAGATGTGGTGTATATATATATATATATATATATATACACAATGGAGTATTACTCAGCAATCAAAAAAAATGAAATCTTGCCATTTGCAACTTTGTGAATGGAACTAGATGTTATTATGCTAAATGAAATTAGTCAGAGAAAGACAAATATCATAGGACTTCACTCATATGAGGACTTTAAGATACAAAACAGATGAACATAAGGAAAAGGAAACAAAAATAATATAAAAACAGGGAGGGGGACACATAAGAGACTCTTAAATATAGAGAACAAACAGAGGGTTGCTGGAGGGGTTGTGGGAGGGGGGGTGGGCTAAATGGGTAAGGGGCTTTAAGGAATCTACTCCTATATGCTAACTAACTTGAATGTAAATTGGAAAATAAAGTATGAAAAAATTTAAAAACAAAGGGACAAATAAAAATACATGCAAGATCCTTGTAAACTCCAAATCCTAACCAAATATTTAATAGTTGTCGACTAACCAGGTCAACTCATTCCACCATTATGCATGATAACAGAGTTTATTATATGAGATTTAATAGTCTTATCTCCTGGATGTTTTTAATGGTATTATCACACAGACTTGCACAAAACATCAACACTTAGGCAGAACTTGCAGAAGCACTGCAGAGAGCTTACAGACCAAGTATCTAAAGTCAAGGCAGAATGGAAACACATGCACACAATTACTTTAAAAGAGCATCCAATTAAAAGGATGTACCCATTTTGTACCCATTTTAGCCTAAGTATATTTTTACCAATAGCCTCCATATTTCTAATTAGCAACAAAGTCAATCGAGTACCTAATTTGCCCACAGGTCCAAAATGGTCCAAGATTTTAGGGAAGCTGACACACTATTTCATCTTCTGGGAGCAGTAGAAAGGCAGGGATTGCCACTGAGTTTTGGGGAAATATAGAGTCCAAACATGGCTTCTAGGGTCTTGGTCTCATATTTGACAGAGGCAAACCCAAACACGCATATTACGTCTCAGAGGTAGAAATAAAAAGTGTCTAGTAGACCTATATCACTAGCATATGGCATAAGCCTGCCTAGTTAGCCTCAAAACTTCTGGAAGGAGAAGACAAATCAAGAGACAAAATCAGGCAATCTTCCATTCAAGATTCCTTCATACCTTCTATTTTATAACATCTCCTTTGCTTAAAATTCTGTCTCATTTTATGCAGAAGGCTTTCATTTGCAGGAGTGTAATCTTCTAAAGTCTTAGCTGTCAAAAGTTGCTTCTTGAGGCAGCTGTCATTTTGCACAGTTTGGTACTCTTGACTCAAGTTTCCTATCTTTTCCCTCTGCTGATGGTTTTCTTGAATATACTGAAAAACTAAAATTAAAAGCATGGATACAACACAAAAGTGCTCAGAATGCTTAACTGTTAAACTTTAAGATAAAAGAAAAGTCTCACTTTGATAACCTACCCATTTCATTACTTTAAATGAGTAATTTGACATTTAGAAAGTAACACCTCAATAAACTAACCATAGAAATGGAAACATCAAATTTCACACTATTAGTAACCTGAGTATAGAATGAATGAATAAATAAATAAATAAATAAATAAATAAATAAATAAATAAAATTATGATGGCAACACCTTATAATTTAGTTTAGTTTCTCTCTAAAAGTTAGCACATCGTTTATAAATAGGTACCGAAGTAAAAACCAGTCAATCAACTTTTAGCAGCACGTCTTCTGAGTATGAAAATCTGCACTGAGAGACATGAGGAAATAGCATCACTGTTACTGGAGGAGATAGACCGTCCACAGAGGAAAAGAGAGAGAGATTTAAATATGTGCGTTTATCTGAGTGTAACATATTAGTGATTTTCTTGAAAAACGTCAAGAAATTCAAATAAAAGATAAAAGTTGAATTTAAGGGGCACCTGAGTGGCTCAGTCAGTTAAGCATCCAACTCTTCCTTTCAGCTCAGGTTGTGATCTTGCAGTTTCCTGGGTTCAACCCATGTGAGATTCTGTATTGGCAGCACGGAGCCTGCTTGGGATTCTCTCTCCGTCTCTCTCTGTCCCTCCCTCACTCATGCTGTCTCTGTCTCTCTCAAAATAAATAAATAAACTTTAAAAAATTATTTACAAAGTTGAATTCAAGATCATCTAATGTCTGTGTACAGAATCAATCTTTCTACTAAACTATACCCTCGTGAAATACTTAGAAAAACATCACGAGAGGGGCACCTTGGTGGTTAAGTGTCCAACCTTGGCTCAGGTCATGATCTCACTTTCGTGGGTTTGAGCCCCCATCGGGCTCTGTGCTGACAGCTCAGAGCCTGGAGCCTGCTTCAGATTCTGTGTCTCCCTCTCTCTCTGCCCCTTCCGATTCGCACTCTGTCCCTCTCTCTCTCAAAAAATAAACATTAAAAAAAAGAAGAAGGAAAAACATCATGAGAAAGTCATAATGTCTTTTGAATAGCTGTTTCTTGAAGAAAGTTTAAGAATCACAATGCTCTAAATTCAGAAGGCAGAATATGACTAAGTCTTGTATCTGAAGGAATGTTACCATGTATTACACAGACTGAAACAACTCACTGAATATCAGAATCACTGGAATAGGTAAGTAAAATGAAAATACCACTGTGACATGTCTGGGGAAAAACTCACCCAGAAAGAGCCACCTGGGACATTCCCTGATGGGAGTCAGGGAACAATTAACGGAGCACAATTAATATTTGCACAATTAGTGGCCTCTGCTATTACTCAGGCTTGAAGGATGTATTTCAATTACTCACTCTTTGTCCCCAACACTGCGACTGTCACCAATAGTAGTAAACACAGGATCCCAAGAATCACTGCAATGAGACACCAGGGCACTGGAAACTCTTTAAATAAAGAAGAAAGATAATCATCAAAGGCAGAGCGTGGCCCACTACTAACCTTAGCCTGGGATACCATTTGAAATGAGACATCTTCCCTAAAACTCTTACGAAAATATACCATACAAATTGATTTTAATTTGTAACCTAGTAATTGCAGTTTTAAAGTGTCAGATTTGTGGGGCGTCTGGGTGGCTCAGTCCATTGAGAGTCTCTCTCTTGATTTTGGCTCAGGTCATGATCCCAGTGTCATGGAATCCAGCCCCATGTCAGACTCAGCATGGAGCTTACTTGAGATTCTCTCTCTTTCTCCCTCCACCCCTCTTCCCTTTTATAAAAAATAAAAATAAAGTCTCAGATTTCTGACTGAGATACACCCACTGTAAGAATCCTACACATAAGAACAGTCCTATAGGATTTTAAAAGGACTTCCCTTACTAAATAGAGAGCTGTTCCATCACTATGTAGTGCAATCTGAAACTAATATACACTGCATGTCAACTAGCCTTCAATTTAAAAAATCTAACCAAGATTTTAAAAAGAACCACAGATGGCAATAGACATAATACACATTTATAAGAATCCACATGGACATGTTATACTCCTTCTTGTGATCACAACTAATCATGAAGAGGAAGGAAAAAGTAGTTAATATTCTGGAGGAAGTGGTAGCCAACAGTGGATATTCTGAAGCTGGAAATGTGATTGCAGTCCATTCTTAAAAGAAATTCTAGAAATCAAAGTTCCTTTCTTTTTCATCAATTCTATTTTTCCCTTGACAATACTAAAATTTGCCTCCTACTTTGGAGGTCTTTGGTCTGAAAATTGTATCTGTGATTGTCACTAAATTAAAACAGTACAAACTATTCTCAATTTAGAGCTTCTGACAATATTTGAAGGTAGAGAGAACAGAAAAGAGAACAGAAGAAAACTGAATGCTTCTGTCTCTTCATTGCCGTTAAGGTTTGGTAAATATTTAAGACACCTAAAACACCTTTTGTCTGAATAAAAACATTGTTTCTAACAGATATTTTCCTTTTTCAAGCAGTCTCTAAGACTTTATTTCTCTAGGAAATGCAGTGTTTTCTTGAGACTCTAATCTGTCCTTCACTTTTAATGACCTCAAAGATTCCCCTTGATCAAGTGTGAATAAAAACATTCTATTGGCTTTACAAATTTAAAAGAATTCATCAATTTCTCCATACTCACAAGCTTAAAAAAAAAAAGGGGGGGGGGCTTGCTCTGCTACCTACGCCATTATGGCTTCCATATCGCCATTTGAAAGACAGACAGGAGCTTTTTTTTAAATGTCGAAGTTTGGCAATCCATAAGAGATGCTTAAGACACATACCTTTGTCATTAGTTTTCCCAGGCCTTTGAGTCCTACCTGGCCTTACTCTATTTTGTGACTCTGAAGGAGACGAAAGAAATCTCAGGGTGGAATAAATCACTTTCTGATCGCTCATCTCTGCAGTAAGAAGGCAAATATGTTTTGCATTAAAACCTCACAATAGGATGATTTCTTTCAAAAGAAAGATTACAAAGTCAGTCTATAGAAACATACCAGGAACATGCCTAGAGGTGTGTGGGTGTCTGTATGTGTAACTGGGGTGTGTGTTTAACTCCTTCAAGTAAGTAGAGCATGTAAACTGAGTCTGATTTATACAGGAAATGGAAACCTTTCAATATTTCTGTTAAGTTCATTTACACTTCTAGTGATTACTGCCATGATTATTAGAAATACATAAAGAATTTTTTTTAATCTACCAATACACTGAATAGGCTGAGTCCTATTCGCCCAGCCAATTTAACCCAAAATGTTCAACATACCTATACAAATGTTGGTCAAATCTGAGGCGCCATTATGAATTACTGAGACCATTTAAAAACTGATCAATTCAAAAAACAGAAATTTTGTTTTTGAAATTTTGAAAAAATAGAAGTATCTTGGCTTAAAAAGTCTTATTATACACATTCAGATCTATATATAGATATTCAAAGGTTCTTGCATTCTTTTCAATTCTGACATGATTCTACCAAAGTGTTTCCCAAAGTATATCCTATAATCCATCTTCAAAAGAATTATTAAGGGTTAACATCTCAGACTGGTCAACAATCCGATTCCAGTGCCCCATGCAAGATGTGTGGAATAAAAATCTCTTAGGGGCGCCTGGGTGGCTCAGCGGTTGAGCATTCGACTCTTGATTTTGGCAGGTCATGATCCCAGGGTTGTGGGTTGGAGCCCTATGTCGGGCTCTGTGCTGAGCGTCGAACCTACTTAAGATTCTCTCTCTTTCTCTCTGTCTGACCCAATCCCCCTCTTGTGTGTGTTCTCTCTCTCTCTCAAATCAAAAATTAATTAATTAAAAATTAACAATTAAAAAATCTCTTGTTTGGAGCCAAGGCACCTGTATTTTTAATGCTAAATGATTCCATCTATATTTGAATTTTAGAAATAATTTTCTAGTGTATCATGTTACCACAGAACCCTCTGTGAAAATAAAATCTGTCAATAGGCAGTCATTAGTTAATATCCATAAAGGATTTGATCTATATTAATATTGCTATAAAAAGAAATTGTTAAATAGTAAATCTCTAAAATTTACCTTGGTTCTTATATTAAGAGATGATATCTAAGAAACAGAAAACATGGAAAACAAATGGCACATGTAACTATACTCTTTTTAAGTTTTTTAATTCATTTATAACATTTTCTAAGCTTCTTCACTTTTTCCCTAATTTCTGCAGGAAAAGGAGTGTTTTCACTTATACAGTCCCTTAAGATGGATAACAGGTAAATAATTCAACATAAAAAGCAAAAAAACACAGCATATTGAGAAAAAGAAAATAGCTTTCCGTGAAGGCTGCACTAGTTTTCACATTGTCTAGAGTTCATGCAGTGCTGGTGTGATCAGTAGAAAATTCTTTTCTAGCAGTCCCATATTCATGCCAAGCCATTTGTAATAAAATGCCATAGTCTTGGCATCTTTTTTTCCTGAGAATCTTTTCTTAAGAAGTGGGACTAATAGGAAATTCAGCTAACAAAGAACTGAGGGAAACAAAAGCAAATGTTACCTGTGTCTGTCATGCAGTGATGCAGGTGGAGAGAACTGATCCAGAAATGTAAGTGGAAGAAGTTGGCTTTTCCAATCCCAGATCCCTCATGTGCGTCAGGAGCTAGAAGACAGACGGCAGAAGTGAATTGTCTCTAAATGGTACTCACACTAAAAAAATGAGTGCCCCTCCTCTTGACCAGAGTGGTGAAAGGAAATTGTATCAAAAGTACCAACCACTTTGTACTCTTTGCAAAATAACATTCAAAGTCAATTGTTTGAGGGCTGAAAATATAAACGAACACAGTTTTGTTCTAAATCCTAAATAACCAAGTAACTCTCAAATAGCCTGTCTGTTAGAAACTTTCTCTTGCATGTTGCTTTTTGAAAACAAAGATTATTTCTTTTTTCCATTTATGTGTACTACAGATAAATGTGTTTTGGAAACATTTTTAGATGTCCATAATTCCACTACAAAATTTTTGGCATATATTCTTCTAGTTGTCTATCCACACACTATGTGTATCATCAAAGCTGGAATCATTCCATGCATGGCGTTTTTGCTGATTTTCTAATAAATGTTTCCGCGTTTAAAAAATATTCACCTACAATGTGACTTTAAGAACCATATATAGTCATTACCCAGACAGATTATCTCACAATTTATGTAAGTGATCCCCTACTGTTGGGCATCTGGGTTGTTTCCATGCTGTTTGCTAGCATAATATACATTTGGCCTTACTTCTGAGTACCACCTTAGGAAAAATGCTTAAACATGAAATTATGGGATCATTACATCACAGAACTTTTGATACATATTCCCAAATGCCTTCCAGCGAAGTTGCTCCCATTTCTACACCACTAGTTGTGTGTGAAAATGCTTGCATTTGACCTTTTAAGAAGAGATACTGTTGAATCATTCCTCAAGTTACTTGAGTTTTGTGCACGAATCTTACTTCCTGAAGATCTTCAACCTTCCAGTTAAAGGAAATTCATTTCTCTTACTCTGTTTCTATGAGCCAGACCTTACCAGAATACACCCAAATCTCACTGAAGTTCATTTTCATTTAATACAGTCCTTGTCGGTCTTTTGATATACAGCTCTATGAAACCAACTGAAGTCGTCCTTCACATCACATGATTATGGTTAACATGGAGGGCAGCAGAGGAGTGAGGCAGGATGAGAAACAGAAATTAGTTATGTTACTCACCCTTACTTCGCTCGGCTCTGACCATATTCCTCGCTTATTCAGTTTTTCCCTTACCACCTCCAGCCACAACTAAACCACTATACTTTAGAAGGATTTCTCATTCTTCAGTTTACTCACGCTGCCAACCTCTCATCCATGCTACTTTACAAACACAGCTCCTGACTGTTCTGACCACTGGGACCATCACGCCTAGGTTATGTGGCTGGTGTTTGGCCCACGTCTGTCCCCAAAGCTGTCCTTAATCTCTGAATCACTGCTTGTCATCAAGTGCAGGCACTCAGCTGAGATACCTCCCAGAGACTAACTTAATTCAATAATATAAGCAAAGTTGCATGGGTAGAGTCTGGACACTTCAAGAGTACATGCTGCCGGGCATTTTCTTGTCTTTACCCCAGTCCTGGATTGGCTTTGTTCATCTCCAAAGACGGAAAGATCCTAGCCCTCTATCTCAACGTCAAAAATAAATAAGTAAATAAATAAATACAACCAGTTCTGCTGAGAGAACATTAGGAATAGGGGTGGGAGAAGTATTCATGGGGATCAAAATGTGGCGGAGAGAGACACTATCATTTATTGGAGGACCCGCTGTACATATAACCTTATCAGAGCCTTCCAATGCTGATAGCTGTTTATTATTGTCCCCATTTTACAAGTGAAGAAACTAATGTTAGGCAGTTAACTGACTTGCCAAGACACACATTCTTGCTAAGTCTTGACCCGTGTTGAAAACCAGGCCTGGCTAACTAAAAAGCACAGAGTATGGATTCAGAAGGGCCTGGATTTTTGACAAACCTCAGGCTATAAGCATGAATTTGGGAAGCAGGTAGATGTGGCTTGAAATACCCATTCTAGGTTCCCTGTGAGATTCGAGGCAAGTCACTCCACTTCTATAAAACCTCGGGTTCATCACAGTAAAATAGCGAGAATATTCGCCTTCTAAGGTTGTCATGAGGATTAAGTGAGATAGGGTCTATAAAGTGCCTAAACAGACCTGGGAAAACACGCAGTAGGCACTCATTAAATGTTAAATATTATTATTTGAGGTCCAAGGTTCAAATCTTTCCTAGCTGTAAAAGTGTGAACCAGTCACTCTGGATCTTCAAGCCAGCTTCCTCACATGTTCTATAAGAGTATCTGCTCACTTGATAGACTTGGAAGAATTCAATGAGATTAGCACAACAGATAGGATTTCTCAGACTTCAAAATAAATAAATAGTCACTTTCCCCCCTCTCTCTCTGAAGGATCTATAAATAGTGGAAAAGACAGGACTTCAATCCAGGAATCCTGACAGGCTGAGCTAGTTTCTCTGTCCCTAACATGTGAGGTTTGGAGTGTGGGTGCTCAGAAGAAAGCGGGTGGGGAAGGACAGGCAGCACATTAATACTGGAAAAATGTGTGGCCGCACACTACTACTTCTCTAGAAAACCATTCTGTGACCTCAGATCTGGCTATTTATATCGTACTCTCCTGTGGAGACACTAGTAAGGCTGAGCCTTTATTCTGTTCTGATTTACATCCTTGTAGCTGGTGAAAGGGTGGAGAGTTCTCACGAAGGAGGCTAGATGACTGCAGAATATCATTTTACACTTCCGTACTGGTCCGTCTTCTCTATATAAACTCTGTGACTCTCACATCCGTCTGGTCCCTTATTGTAACAGCAGCACAGACAAAAGATAAGATGCCTACATGAGCGCTTGATGAACAAGGGGATTCAAGTTAAGAAGAAATGACTCTAAAATCTAGATTTTTCCGTCTTAGAGAGAAGCAAAATGAGATTAACGATTGGAAAGTCAAATTCTGCAGCTGCTCCCTACAATCTCTAATTATTCAGAATTTTTTTGTTGTTTGTTCTCTAAGCTCTAATTTCTGGAAGAGGCAAATTTCTTCTTAAACGAGAAGACATGCAGCATCAGAAAAAAATGGCAATAACTTCATGTGGGACTAATAGAAATGCCTACCTCAGCCCTTTGATCAAAGAAGCACAGAACTGAGGCACCAAACTTAATCTGCTTCAACCTCTAGTTAACAAAACAGAAAGGTGGAAAAGTTGAAGAATATTTTGAATGTTCCTATTACTTGGTCTTCGCTGTTGCTCAAAACACACATGATACATAAAACATATGAATACACAAAGCATTTGTTTATTTACTTCCTGGCTGCTTGGCTGCAAAGCTTTTTCCATTTGGAAACCACACAACTTACCTCAACCCTTACTGACAATATGAACTTCGTCAGCTAGAAGCTTAGATCACAACTTCTAGTCACACCTTCAAGCTTTCTGGTCACAGCTTCAAACCTTAGTGGCTTATCATTTCACAGAAGCATGCTGTTCTTCCTCTTGTAGGCCAAAGTGAAGTTTGTCCAGAATAAACACTAGCTCCTATGGACAGATGGCCTTCCTCCCTCTCCTGAGAAGCAGATTCCCACCTCCATGGTTGTTAGGCTTAATGCCGAAACTTCATGTCACTGGGCAACCTCTGGCTCTTGCTTTAAAAACTCAAAAGACTTCACTTGAAGGTTCTTGCTCCCCTAATTAGCACCTCATTTGTCCATCTTATCTCTACAATAAAGACTGTTTTAATACTTAGAAGTTAAAATCGTTGATATTGGCCCAACTGCCCTCCAGCAGTCAATCAAACAGTACACATCCTTCCTCTGATTTCTAAATACCTAAATGAGAAGACCACCTCAGGAAATAAGCAGGCGTGAAAAAATGATGGCAAAAGAAAAAGGATTTCAGGTTGCTATTTGGGCTCTGTGTCACTAATGGATAAGCTCTATTCAAGGCATGACAAAGAAAACAGTTCTGCATAATTAAGTAGTGGCATAATTAAGAATTTTGATGTTTGAATTAGTGTTCCCGCCACTATATCACACTGTTCAGACTCTAAGCTTGCCCTCAAATCATTCATTTATTTGTTGTCTATTTTTATTAAATTCTGTGAATTTTCTATTCTAGCTCATTACCATGCAATACTAGAATGCCAATTATTAAAACTTCCCATAGATGTTTATAGGAACCTTATTCATAATTGCCCAAACTTGGAAGCAACCATGAGGTTCTTCACTAGAAAAATGGATAAACTGTGGTCCATCCAAGCAACGGAATATTATTCAGCACCTAGAAATGAGCTATCAAGCCATGTAAAGACATGAAGGAAACTTAAATGTGTATTACTCAGTAAAAGAAGTCAATCTGAGAAGGCTACATATTGTATGATTCCAACTATATGACATTATGGAAACGATAAAACTATGGAGACAATACAAACAGTAGCAGTTGCCAGGAGAGGAGCATAGGGAGAAATAGAAGAGAGCGTGAGGAATTTTTGGGTGCTGAAAACACTAGCTCTGATACTATAATGATGGATATATGTCATTATATATTTGCCCAAACCCCCAGAATGTACACTGCCAAGAATGAACCCTAATGTAAACTATGGGCTTTAGGTGATTATGATGTGTTCATGGAGACATATCAACCCTAACAAATGTACCACTCTGGTTGGAGATGCTGATAACAGAGGAGGCTGTGCATGTGTGGCGGCTGGAGTATATGGGAAATCTCTTACCTTCTTCTCATTTTGCTGTGAACCTAAAATTGCTCCCCAAAAAGGTCTTTTAAAAAATATCACAGGGATCAGTGGTTGAACTTACAGCACAACCCATGTTCATGTGACTCTAACAAAATAGTCTCACGATGGATATACAAAATAATCTCAGCTCTCATTTATATTAAAAGTGTCCACATGAATACACTCAGTCTGACATCATGAAGTATCTGCCTGTACTCTTAACTGTAAGGAGAGGCACAAAACCTGGAAACTCAAAATAAAGATACACACATAAATATAATAGAGTGATAGAGGCTGCAGATCATTCTGATTATCACTGGTCCTCTTTGCTGTGCCATTATTTATTGCTTTGGTCAAGCCAA